CCATAGATTACGTTGTCTGGGACATGTGTTACGCATGTCACCAGATAGGTTGCCGTGGCGAGAGATGTTCGCTGAGGCAATTAGTGGGTGGAAGGAAGTCAAGGGTGGTCAAACTAAGAACTAGCATGAGGGTGTGAAAACCAACTAAGATCTGGGTCACATGGGTCCTGTTAGGCTCCCTGGCTGGGGACGTCTGGATGATCATATTCGATAGTTAGAGACACTGAGTGATATGACTGGGTATCGTAAACAGTGGCGTTCGTGCGTCTTGTCGGTTTCTCTGCAAAATTAGTGCAATGAAATCCTGAATTTTCTCCTTGATCCTACCTTCAACCTTTCCTGTCTTTCTCCTCATGTTCATCCCAATGGGCAGCCAAAAGACAGCAACCAATACCGGCGCACGATGGTGCATGGCTAATGGTTGTAGAAACTGAGACTACTGATTCGCATCATTTTGCGCTTTGAATTCGACTCAAGCAAGCAATTTATCTGTGGGAATCGAAGGGATTACGGTGTCTAGGTGACATTGTTGTGTTCCGATCTTCACCGTTTGGTTCGCCGAAAGCGTTAATCACTTCCGTATTTGAGACAGACAATTGTGGTTCACTGCTGCAACCATATCCACAGCTTTCTTTCTTGCGTCTCATGTGTACTTACTTGACTGGCTCCTGTAACAGGATGGTTCGGTTTCATTGATGTTGCGAACTGCAACGACAAGATCGTAGAATGGGGTGATGCCGTTCTGGCCTCTACTGCATGAATTGTGTGCGTGCTTTAGTTCCGGGAGCTGAACCAAATCTCCAGTTGACATGCCATACGAAAGCGCCAAGCTCTACTTGGTTCGAGTGCGCCAAGAGCATTTAATGGGGCAAAAGGGCAAGGTTTGTACGCTTTTGCCCGGACTCTGTCTTTCAGTTTTTAAGCTTTCCACTATTGCTCAAACTGGTACATGCTTTGGAAACCCGAAAGGTCAAATTGTCGTGAAATATAAGAATTCCTTGTTGGGTTTTTCGTTTGTGAACTACGTGTCTCTAAATCGTGTACACTACTCGTTTTTCCGCCAAGTACTCCGTGTTATCATTGCACTTTTGGTCGTGTCTACCGCAGTAAGTTAAGGATTGACGAAAAAGTACTATCAGTACGTGAGCTTTCTTGTTTGCGCATTATCGTCTGCCTGTTACCTCTAATCGACTTTCTCGTCCATGAAGATAAGTCAGTCTCATCAATGTATCCACGATGACTATTTGGAAGATAGTAAAAGCTGCCGTCCACAGTACCACGGCAATTTTCTGTAAGGATGACGTGTTACCTGTAGGATAACTCAGCGATATCGCTGGATTCGTGCAACTCCTGGTACTTTCTACTGAAATTTATTGTTTTTTTTTTACTGTAAGATATCTTACCCGGTCAAAAATTCCCACATCATGGTACATCGCCACTGATCATCCTGTTTAGTAAAGCAATACCTACCTACTCACCCATACCCAACGGAGTCGCAGTTCACCTATCTGCTATCTGGAAACTCGCCAGTGGCGTGCTGCCCCACTGACCGTAGATTTAATTCAATCTGTTGCCTCTGGGTGTCACTGGACTCAAGCGTAACCTCGGTATTTTTCTCCACTATCATGACCGTGGGTTAGTATCTCACGTCCGATACCATTATGCACGCTAGGAGGGGAACCAAATCAACTACTATTCGGTGAGACCCAGAGTACTGATTAGGTTTAGTCCGGCGCTTATTTTGATATCAAGTTCACATGAACTATGGTGCATAAAAATCCCCATGAATTGTCTGGTTTTCGATGAAAAGTTCACGACTTGACGTTCAGCAAAAATCCGGTTTCCCCGGACACTAGCAGTCAAGGATCAAATGTAAAGGAATAAGGATTGTCACCTAATTGTTCTAAAAATCCACGTTCTACAATGGGCTTTGCTGAATTCCCTCCTTGTCGCTGTACAGACATTAATGCACCGTCCCGGTCCAATCGATGTCGAAGTTTGATGACATCGAAACGCACGAAGAGTGGTTTTAGCTCATCCCCACCCACTTAACCAATGTCTAACGGGGGACGGAGCGAGGGTGCGGATGGGGAAACAAATGGCATAATGAACTGCTATTTTCTACCTTCTCCCCTGGCAAACTTTGAAACTACATTTGAGTCCACTGACCTAGTCAATTCACTCGCTTCCTCCACCAGTACACCTATACAATCCCTTATTCTCTTGTTGGTTCTGTTTTGCATCATTTTCACAGAAACACCCAGACGTTCACATTCATGTTCATGGAATTACTACCCGGTGGAGAGCTGTTCGAACGGATTCCAATCGGTGTCGGATTGCATGTACAACAAATGTTCATCTACTATGCTCAGGTAGCGTTTGTTCTCGAGTGAACCGCTCCTTGAACTTTGCTTCATTTTCTTTTGCGGCTTTTCAGTGACTCGCTCCCACGTGAGGGGAATTTAGCTTCCAGGAGTAATTTTGGCAATCTGATAGAATGTGGTGCCAGTCCACGGGCCAGTTGGACATGAGCCACAGTGACTGTGTGATCCATGTTCTGTATACTCAAGTGACTCATCCTTGTGAATACCAGCAGAACACCTTAATTGTGTTAGAATGTTGAATAACCCACTTCTACTCACCAACCTTCAAGTGCCTATCGGACCTTATGTGGTTAGCCACTCCAAGTCCCGGGGCTTAGGTTACCGGTTTTCATCTCTGAACAGCACGTTCTCGTGACTATGAAGTCTACCCCGTCTGCTGTTCATCGCACGAAAGTGTGCCATAAAAAAATGTTGCGGAATGTAAAATATGGCAGTTGGTTTTTTCTTTTGAAAAAAAACTCGATTTATAATACGAGCAACTCAGTGTTTTCTGTTCTTTCTTTTTTCCATGCACTGTGCAGATTTTGGATGCGCTCAATTATCTTCACAAGGAACAGTTTATTGCTCATTTGGATGTGAAACCCGAGAACATAATGCTCACCAAAAAAGATCGTGCGAAACTGATCGATTTTGGTTGGGCGGTTGATCTACGAAAGACTAATTTCATTCAAGGCCCAGTGGGAACCACAAACTATGCTGCTCCGGAAGTATTTGGCAAAGGGTAGGTGTGTCGATCACATTTGTTGTTGTTGTCGCCATCAGGTTTAATCAAGGTTGCTTTCTAGCCGGTATGGCGTTTCGTACCAGGACGTGATAGACCGTAGACAGGTTGTTACATCTGCAGCATGTCCGTATGAAGATCTCGAATTTGACAGAGGTGTAGCATCACACTCACGCCGTTTTTATTTAAGTAATGGAAATGTGCCTCCTATTTCCTCGGATTTGTAGTTATGTAACCACGAAGTGACCCAGTAGGATACTCGTGGTACATCATGCTGTCCGGTGAAACCAAATAGAAAAACATTCCATAATCATCCATAATCTCTTAATAAACAGATCAGAACCGACACCAAAACAGAGTCCTATCAAAACACAACCACAGCTGAAACATACAAGTCGAAGAAACATGCTTTATCCAATCAATCGCAGATAAAACATTGGTCTAACTGGAGGAAATCATGCAACTCCGGGGACACAACGGTCTATTAGACCATGGTGGATATGAATAAGGCGGTAGATGCCTCAACGTGATCTATTACGCGTTCGCCAAACACAAAGGAATCCCAGGAAACTTGACACTCCTGGGGTAAAGCTGTGATTCGACTGGTCGACACTCGCGTATGGCCGATCAGCGTGAAGTGTTTTCGAGGTCACTGATCGCAGTCGTCTTCGACTAGTGCGTAACGCTGGACTGGTCGACCTGCGTCCGACCTGGCGTGTGCCTCACTCTCTGGTCACAAAGCCAATCACAAATGCTCCAGGTTTCTGGTTGGTTTGTAATGCGGGGCGGAACAATCAGTTTCTCACTCACTCAATTGCGGTTTTCTCCACGAATATCACCCTTTTGATGTTGTCATCTGTTCCTGATTCATATAATCGTGCTTTTGGTTGCTAATTTTCATGACCGAAAGACAAGCTGTTGTGATTAGTTTGACCCCCCTCCTCTGTCTGTTTCTCATCACACTTGGATTGTGGTGGCAGCGTGAGTAACACACACACACACACACACACCGGCTGTCTGCCACGGACATTTTCAGTTTGTCCTCAACATACAACGCGCAACATCTGTGAACCACAAATTCGATCGAAGTTTTGCAGCATATTTTTAACCCCTGTCCAAAAATAGAACATCACAAATTTTCAAAGTTCTTTGAAAATATACTTACCACTCTTCTTGCATGCACAATGATGCCATCAAATTTTTTTCAGTCTGGGGTTACATGACCACCTAAACAACAGAATCTCACTAGGTCGGCTAATTCGACGGAGATAAGCTGCGTATGCCTTTCTATAAAATCTACTTTTCCCTTTTCTTGCTTATTCACTAATGCATCGTAGAGCCAAATCATGGTTTCATCCGCAATTTCACCGTTCTAGTTGCGTCAGCCGTGCACACAGTAGCTATTGCTGATGCTCAGTCACAACAGCAAGGACGAGACCGCTATTTTTCGGCCATTACATGGTTTCACATTGTCCGCCATTGTGCCCTTATTTTTCACGTTAAAACATGGGAGCCGCCCTCGGTTAGAGCATTAAAAACCAAACGTCCCTCATTGGACTCCGACTGGCAGTTCAGACCCGTTATTCAGCAAAGGGCAAGTCAGCATACTGTGGTATTCAAACGCGACATCTCCAAAGGATCAGATCTGTGCTCAACTGAAATCGCGATGACCCAATGGAATTTAAACACCTGTTGTGTTGAGTCTTAACAATCCATCCTTCTCCATGCTTCTCCTTGCCCTCAGCCTTGTGGCACATGTCGGAAATGATTGATTATTTAATTCATGTCTGTGCAAAAGTTATGACTCCTGTGCCTCTCGTTTGCTGACTGCGCAGATTTTCCTGGGTTTTGTCGGTAGGATTGTTTGAAATTTGGTTACCCATTTTGTGCGGATGAAGCTTGATTTCATTGACTCAGCCGGACAAACGGAAAGCAGAACGAGGTTACCATATGCAACCGCTTGAATCGCTACGTCAAACCTACCACTTGTGTGTAGTACAGAGGAGAGCGCGAAAAACTGTCTACAACGATTTTCATTGAAGGCTCAACAAAAATCTTGGAGTGGATAGATCGGAGGAAAAAACACAAACAGGTTGTGAAAGTGTCCAACCGAGTCATATCTCCGGAGGTCAGTGCTGAGGTGAGCGAGGACCGATACTCGCAACAAGCTTGCATTGACGGGTTGTGCTATATCGTATAAATTCAATATGGGAAACGGTTTGATCAACTGCCCGGTGGCTGAGTGGATAGCATGCTTGCGTTCTGCCCATGAGGTCCCGGGTTCGATCCCCAGTTGGATCGATGGATTCGCACTGTTGATGAAACCCAACCAAGTCGAAACAGCTGTCCGGTGCTTCCCAACTTTTCAGCTCACGCCTCGTTTACACGACGAATTCATTATGGAAAAGTACTTAGTTGAAATTACTGCTACGGTGAACAAACGTTCGGGATCAGTTTCTTTTGCATACAGTGGTGGTTTGTGAATAGTCACGAGCGAAGTTGTACTAAAGAATGTAACTTTACTGCATTGCCTAACAGTACTTTGTGGATATATATGATATAATAATATATATGATATATGATATATAGTATAATATATATATATAATAGTATAATATATATATCGCAGTACAACAGTCTAAAGAGAAAATTTGTAGGATTTCATTGTGAGCGCAAAGCTGCTAGATAGATCAGAGGAATTCGCAATAGAAGCCTTTGTCTAGCCAAAGCTCAACCCACAAGGCAGCGGAGCGGGGTGTGGAAACACTATTTCATCGAAGTCCGATATCCAGTTAGTCGGCTCATACTCCCTTCAGACAGTCAAATGTTCAGGGTGCCTAGTGGAGCCAATAATCACTTACGCAACCAGAAACGTATGCGTGGTTTGGTGCTCCGTTTCATGCTTGGTTGTGAATTAGGGATTCTAGCCAACTCACCAGGTTAACTGCCAGATCACCGATCACATTGCAGCCCGGGATGTTGGCTTTTTGTCCTTTCACTTAGGTGGAAAAACACCTCACCATAATAAAGCTGTAAGTAGAGCTATCTCAGTAGAAGCTACGTGAGACGCTTGGTTGCATAGTGGCGTTTCAAGACGCTAAACGAACGGGTCACTACTAGCCAAAACCCAACCCTCTACCGTATTGAGGCTTTCGGAGGCGCCTTAAAGTAATGCGAACCATGGGAGCTCTAGGTAAAATGTTCCGCAATGGACCGAGCTGAATTTTTTCCGCTTTCGTAGGTTGCCATCTAGATATGTGCTCCGACGTTATGTGGGTCAACTGCTGATCCACCCTGCAAATGTATGTGACACATCATAACTGCAGATGGACATGTGAAATGTTGAGGACAGTTTGGCTGTTCAAATGATTTTGGCGACTTGGTGCTTTGGTCGTTTGTATTACTCGTAACTAAGGCGCCTGATATGTACGCGGCAGATCCGATTTCGAATTGAGCTTTATTTGATTAACTAGCTAATCACCCGTGTCTCAGAAGAATGTCAAACTTGTTTGGATTGCTCCACAGAAGTTATTGTTTCGGTTTTTCCTCTCGCTTTTTTTACGATAATTGACGAACTATTCGTAAAGTCCATAGATTCGAAGCGTTTGTTTGATGAACTACTTACCCGTCAATCGCCTCTTTTGTTGCTAAACGTTCAGTGCACATTCGCATCTTTGTGTGTTGTCCTCTAGTGTAACATGTGTAGTAAAGTTGTTTCATGTTCCACCGGTGAATTACCGCTGAGCGAGAATGGAAGTTGTTTTATCGTGAACGGGGTTAATAGCTGGAAACATTATATTTTACTCGTTTGCTCGTGGCATCTTTTTGTTAGCTGACCAATCTACGATTCTTAATTTTGGAGGCAACGTGACTGCTGCTTTAAAAAGCTTCCTTTTCTACTTTTCANTTTTCAATTATCGTAGCTCCTACTTAGGTCCTCCGGCAGATCTGTTCTCACTGGGTGTGACTTTGCTGACTGCCGTCACTGGACAGCGTTGTTGGACTCGTGCAAACCCACGGGTGGACGCTGTTTATTCACAGTGGGTGGATCGGCGCAATCTTCACTCTGGTCCTGTTTTTTCTCGTCTACCTCCGGATTTAGCCAATTTCCTCACTCGAGCTTTGGCTCATCGACCGAGCGAGCGGCTAACTGTGGACGGAATTCGTGCCCATCCCTGGTTTCGTCGTGGCCTGGCAAGGCGTCTCACTCCGGTCGCTCCCCCGATCTCATCAGCTACAGATGCATTATCGTTGCGAAACCGGTCTGACGCTCCCGGTAAGGAGTTTCGTTCACTACTTTTTCTTATTATACCAGGAAATCTTCCACTGATTCGACTAACATCTTCATCTAATAGGATATTCGTGTTCAATATACTACTTGTTGACCGCACTCTGATAGGCAATTTAGTATTTGGTAAGTTGCCAAGATCCTTTGAATAGCACCCTGTGTTGCGTTGCATTTGAGATAGTGGAATAAAATAGTTCGAACATTCGACATAGACCCCAGATATACAGTAATTGGTGTCTGCAAAGTTGAACAACGTTCTCAATTGATTGATTCGAAGTTTTAACCATGGAATGAGTAGTTAAGAGATACGAAGGTTTCCTCTCCCAACCCGAGCATTCTCGGTTCGAGTTTCGACAGGGAATTCAAAACTGCACACTACTGGTGAATCCGCACAAGGATGAAACAGTTGTTCACTCCTCACTCAAGAGGAGTTGGGACGCAAATTAAACCATCCCCATGCCTAAAATCGATAGGGTATTTTAGGGGAAAGACGGATAGAAACATTTATAGTCCTGTATTTTCAAGCACATAGGATCAAAAACTCGAACTTCATTTGATACCTGTTCGTCTGGTTCCGGTAAGAACTTGGACGGAAAAATATTGTGGGTTCTGTTTCCGGTTAACTTAGAGTGAAAATCCGTGGGTAAGATTTAGGAACGAGTTAATCAGAAATGTGTTAGCTTTTTGATCCATTTTTGATGAAACCATTTGCTATATCGGGTTAATAGTCAGCGGTAAATGGCGTAAATTCTCCGTGGACTGAACCACCTAGATACCAGCGTCCTGTGTGGTTTTTTACCATCCATTTTCAGCGGAAGAGAACCTGCAATGGACTAGGCTAAGACTGACTCAAACGGATGTGGGATTCAATAATGTTTGTTTATTGTTCCTTTACGTTTCCAGTAAAATTCGTGCAAACCGATGTGCACATTGACTTTCATTAAATCGAAAATGATATTGATAATTCCTCATCTAGTTGAGACTGCAACTTGATATAGTGTTGTTATATCTNTCGCACACATTCATCACCCTTCGAGCTGTACGGGATAGATTCTCGTTCATGCATCCAAACATACCTGAAAGGCTAATGAGTAGTGACCATTATGTATCTCAGTCTCACAAGATCAGTTGATTGAGCACCTGGTTTCTTTTGACTATCCACTCGCCTCTGGATAGGTCACTTCAGCAAGTAAACACGAAAAGGAGCAATTTACCGGTCAAAACCCTAGTGGACAGGTGGCCGGTACCTGGGGCTTCCTTCCGACCATGAGAGAAGCCTTCGTACTTCCCTGGACGACTACCGGCCGCCCAAGGTTGCAAACTCTCAACCACTAAGGTGCTGCTCCATCTACGTTCCGATTACCTCATCGGGTGCCAAGGGCCGAAGGCCTTGTGTGACAGCTCTTTAGTAGCTCCCATACGGTTGCTTTGAATCTACAGTCCACTACCTTATGAATGACGAATTTTACAGGGACCTCTCTCAACTGCTCCAAAGTCAACGGACATCGTAGTAGTCGCTCGAAACTTCAGTGCTCCAGAGGGATCCC